ATATTTTCTTAAACAGATTAATAATTATAAATTTTTATTAAATATAATAAAAGAAATAAAAATAAAAATATTAAATCTAATATAATAAGAAACTTGAAGATTAAAATATTTTAATAAACTTATAGATTTATATTAAATTAATTAATTGCTTAATAAAACTAATCAAAATATTTAATCAAAAAATAAGAATCACCTTTATTTTTTATAGCAAATTTTTATTAATTTTACTTATTAAATTAAAAAAAAAATTCTATAAAGAATTGTTATATACTAAATATAAAAGTTTATAATAGATAGTTATTTACTAAAATTAATTTTAAATTTTTTAATTAATAATAAAAATAATTTCAATGATTATTTTTAATTTAATAAAGATTAATTCTAGATTAAATAAATTTAAATTTAATTCTAATAATATAGCAATTATATGAAAATTATATATTTTATCAATTTTGTTAGAAAAATTTTTATAATTATTAAGAAGTTTTAAATAATTTAATTTTTAAAATTAAGTTTTTATAATAAATTTCTTTAAAATTCATATGTTACGAATTAATTAAATTATTTTACTACTAATAAAGTTATAAAATTTCTTAATAAATCATAAAATTATAATAATTAAAGTTATTCTTTATCCCTTACACTATAAGTATAAAATTGTTTTTAAAACATTTAAAATATTTTGATATCTGATAATTATAAAAAAATAAAATAAAATTTTTAGATTTATCATATTATGATATGTCTAAAGGTAGTATTTTTAAACATAATTATTAATATATATTAATTTTTAATTTTTTAATTTTTAAAAATAATTTATTATCTAATAATTATAAAAATATAAAATTTATTATAAAAGTATTAATTTTTTAATGATATTTAAAAATATTTAAAAATAATTAAAAATTGTTTACAAATTTATAGGCAAAACAGTTGAAGGAATAATAAAGTTTATAATATTGCATTATAATTAATATTGTTAAAAATAAAAGTTAATAAAATTGACAAAAGTCAATAATAAAAATTTTTAATATGAAATTTTCTAGCTTATAAGAACTTTAGATTATTTATTATATAATTAAAATAAAAATATACTATGATATAATATATATTTATAAAATTAATTTAAAAAAATGTTTTTTAATAAAATTTTAATTTTTATATAATAAATCAAAAGGGAATTTATAACAAATAAGTAGACAAATTTATCTGTAAACTTCTACAATTTAAGAAATAAATTATATTTTAAAATTACTTTTTTATACAAATCTTAAAAAATATATTTAATAGAATTTGATTATATTATTTAAAAATTTAATATTATAATATTATATTTATAAAATTTATAAAATAATTAAATATTATTATTTTATTATTTAAATAATAAAGATATTTATTTTATTAAAATAAATAAAATTTATGAAATTTTAAATTAAAATAATATAATAATATAAATAAAATTAATTTTATATTTTATATTTTAATAATACTATTTAAAATGGTAAAAATATGATAAAAGTAATTTTAAAAAAGTTAAATTATTATATACAAAATTATTTATTAAAATATCTTTTATAAAAATAAAAATAGTTTTATTTTTCAACTTCATTTAAAATTAAGATTTAAAAATTTTTTTATAATCATTGTTAAAGTTTCATATGTTAAAAACTTAATTGAATCACTCTTACTATCAATAAAAGTCATAAAATTTATCAAGATTGTAATTTCTTTATAATAAATTTTATTAATCTAGTTATAAGTAAATTATAAGAAGATTGCTAATAATAAAAGTTTTGGGTAACCTTAAATGATAAATGAAAATTATTATAATAATTTAAAAACTTGAAACATCCCCTTTTTTTGCGTCCGCCATATGACACGCTGGCGCAGAGAATCTAGATGATGGCCCGATGAATAAAGTTTAAAAGGTACTTCGTGAGAAAAGAACAAGGAAAAATATCAAAAGATAAGGTTGTAATACAATACACGTTGTTCAGCCAGCAAAATATTATATGATCGAAAATTGAAGCGATAAAACTTGATCTTTATGCATAAATTTCATAGACAACAGATAATCGTGCTTTATCTAAATTGATTTACTGATAGGATGTTTCCGATAACTTCTGCTGCGGTTAACTATAAATGAAGAATTGCAAATCACTTCCTGCGAAAACAAAATACCGGATCTATCTTTGACGTTTCTTATTTATTATTATTAAACTATCTTTTTTTGTCATTTATATGACATTTTCTTTGGAACTGTGCTCTGAATTTAGATATTTTTAATTATTGATAAGATCAAATTCGAATATTGCTTAATTTAGAAAATAAATAAATATTTTATAAATTAGCTTCTTCCATAATTTTGGTTTATCTGATCGAATGTTCTATAAGAAATACACAAAGTTTATTAAATACATAGTTTGTTTATAGCAAAACAAATTTTTTATGGAGGGTCCAAGAACCGCCGAAATTATTATCTATCAATCATCTGTCATTCATTATCAAGGTTAGAGTATTGTAAAAAAACTTACTAAAAATAATTTGGTAAATTATGTAATGTTACATTCATAAATAACTTTCGTTTTTATTTTATTTTATTATCAACAAAAATTTCTTATCACATATAGTTCTTTGGGTAATTCTCAACTTGAACCAATGATTTCTCACATCATAATCTTCTTTTCTTCATCAATTTACTAAAATGATCATAATAAAAAAAAATCTTTTGTATTTTTTTGAACCGGACATTTGCGAAAAAAAAAAAAAAAAAAATACCTGATAAATCATATGCAACGAAATGGCGTCCTATTTTTTTGTTTGTTACCCTACGTCCGGTTGTAAAACTCGAGATAAGCCTAAAATGTATATATGTCGTATAAGAGCATCTATGTGATGATTACTGAAATATACATAAAAATCAAATGTATTGAATTGAATGATCCACATGACATTTAACTACAACTGATTTTACTTATTGATTATCCGTTTCAATGGGGGTAGACTAATTGATTTAAAAAAAAAAAAAATTGGTTTGATTATCTAAAAGTATTGAAACATTTTTGTTATATAAACTCGTTAAATTTTACCTCTTTAACTTTAAATCTCTCATTCTAAAAATTAAATTTTAACATCCTTAAAAAAATCTATAACCTTTTCTTCTCAACAATCAAAAAAAAAATTCATTAACGAAAAATGGCTGTTGCTAACAAATCTAACACTCAAACTCTCGCTAAATACCTTTCTCTCGATCAAGGTGGTAAAATCCAAGCCGAATACATCTGGATTGACGGCGATGGTGGACTTCGTGGGAAAACCACTACTCTTGATTTTAAACCAACTGATGTTTCCGAATTAAAAGAATGGAATTTTGATGGTTCTTCAACTAATCAAGCTCCAGGAGATAATTCTGATATTTTACTTCGCCCTGTTGCAATCTTTAAGGATCCTTTCCGTGGTGGTGATAACATCTTGGTCCTCGCCGAATGTTATAATAATGATGGAACACCAAACCGAACAAATTATCGTCATTCCTGTGTTAAACTTATGTCGGCTCATTCTGAAGCCAAACCTTGGTTTGGTATTGAACAAGAATATACCTTGTTCGATATGGACGGTCAAGTGCTTGGATGGCCAAAAGGTGGTTTCCCAGGTCCTCAAGGTCCTTATTATTGTTCCGTTGGTGCTAATGTAGCTTTTGGACGCGACGTCGTTGAAGCTCATTACCGTGCTTGCCTTTACTCCGGTGTAAATATTTCGGGTGTTAATGGTGAAGTTATGCCTGGTATGTATATTTTAAAAACACATGAAACACACAACAAAGCTTGTAATTTGCACGTGACTAATCAAAATTCTTCCTTAATTAGGTCAATGGGAATACCAAGTTGGTCCATGTGAAGGAATTGATATGGGAGATCATCTTTGGGTATCTCGATATCTCCTTCAACGTGTAGCAGAAGATTTCGGTATAGTTGTTTCCTTCCATCCCAAACCAATAAAGGGAGATTGGAACGGTGCAGGATGCCACACAAATTATTCAACAGAAGCAATGAGAATAGAAGGCGGAATAAAAGCAATTCATGATGCAATTGATAGAATGAGTAAACGTCACGCAGAACACATCGCCGTATATGGCGAGGATAATGACAAACGTCTTACCGGTCGTCACGAAACTGGTCATATTTCAGAATTCTCATATGGTGTAGCGAATCGTGGTGCTTCAATTAGAATTCCAAGACATGTTGCCGCTCAAGGTTATGGTTATTTCGAAGATCGTAGACCAGCTTCCAATATTGATCCTTATCGTGTTACTGAAGTCATAGTTGAATCTACTCTCGGTTAAATACATCTTTATTTTTGTTAATATGTTTATATTCTAGATGAACCTACGTTAATGTAAAATAGGTTTCTAGAAACTTATTGTATTATTATATATTTATACTTTATATATTCCTTTTTCATTTTTTTTTTTTTTGTTTATATGATAATTAATGAAAGGAAATATTTGCATAACATAACTTTATTGCATTTTTTTTAAACCTACATTCACACGTAGAAAAGCATACCCTTGATAACTATTATTAATGCAGTATAATTTGCATTATTGCTCAATGTAAGATAAAGAAAAAAAAGAAAATAAATAAATAAAAACGTTAAAAAAAAAAATTTATTACTACGAGGTTTCTCATCATATTATCATTTTATTATATTACAAAATGTTTACTAATCGCCATAAATTTTTATAAAGATTCGTCTACATTAAATTCAGTCTTTCTTTCTTTTGCGACGTTTTCACGTGATTATAGATCTTTGCTTTTAAAAAATTTATCGTTTATGTAGGCCCAAAAGACTTTAGTGCATTAAATTCTTTAATTCATTTGACACATGTTTTACCATGTGTCTTTCTGCTTAATTTGTTAATTTGTTCATTTCAATATCCGTTATAATACCATATCGATTATGACGCGTATAAAGCATTTTCTCTCTACCCTATTCTTAAAATGTCGATTTTCTACAAACCCAGCGCAAGTGCTTTATCAAAAACAGCCCGTAATATAATTACTAGAAGTAATTGTTTAAAAAAAGAAGTGAACACAAGAGTCGCGTTGTATACAAGCTTATCTTCTGGCTATGATCCATTTGGTTCTCAAAATGTTTCTTCAGAGACAACATCGAGTCAAGATAATGACGTAAATTCTTCAACAAACGATCCTTTTAGTGTTCCTCAAGACGCTTTTTCTGGTAATTCTTAGTGAGTAACTTTACCTTTTTTTTTAAAAGTATATATATATATATATATATTGGTAATAATTTTAAATTCTTTAGTGAACCAACTAAACAATATCAAAACTACAAAAGATCTAAATTTATAGAGCCAGATTATATAGATTTAACACAAGGTTCTTCAAACTATAAGGATTCCTTTAAGAATTTTGATCATTTTCCAACATCAGCTCGACCGCGACCATCATATGAGTCGAACAATTTTATTCGTTCAAAATCATCTCAACCGCGTGAGGAATTTACTAAAGATAAAGTCAGATCATTTGACAAGCTAAATACGTCAGATAATGCTATGATACCCGATCAGATGCCTAAACTGTTAGAAAATCAGAAAATTATTGACGCGATTGATGAACATGGTGAAAATTGGGAATATATTTCAAAAGAAGTATATAATCATGAAGTTAGTCCTGATGAATTAGAAAGGATATGGACTAAATTTACGAAGTTTGTTAAAAATTATAATAAACTTCCATCATCGCAATCGTCAACAAGTTCTGTATATCCGTTTTGGACGACAAAAGAATGTCATAAACTTATCGATGCAGTGAAAGCTAATGGTCAAGATTGGCAAAAAATTTCGGTTGAATGTTTCGACTCTTTTCGATCCTCTCGTTCATTAGAAAAGAAATGGGAAAGTATGTGGTTTCCAAATGAAAAAAAAAACGTGACAAGCAAATGGAGTCATGAAGATGTTGATAAGTTAAAGCATGCAGTTAATCAGCATGGAGAAAATTGGGAATTGATTTCTCGTGACGTTTTTAATGGTTATAAGAACAAAAATGGGTTGTTATGGAAATGGAATTTAATCAAAAATCAATATCAAGGTGACAATACTCAGAAAGTAAGAACATTAAAACCTCGACAAGAAATAACGAATAAGGATCAATTGGCTCGTGAATTGGGTCGACAACTCAATCTGCATTGTTCGAATCTTGTAGAATTATTCGGACAGCGAGCTATATCGATCGAAACATATTTTAATGGGCAATCAGGATTCCCTTGGACTGAAGAAGAAAACTCTACACTGTTTGGTGCCATAAAAGAATTTGGTACTAAAAATTGGGAAAAAATTTTAGAACTTTTGCCAGGAAGATCATTGGAAAATATTCAAGAGAGGTGTTCTAGCACCTTATGGGAACCACAAGAAGTGGAAGCCTTTAATAAAGCTTATGAGCTACACGGTAGTGATTGGAGTAAGATTAGTGGGCTTGTTGGTACGAGATCTCCTGGTCAATGTTGGTCATATTGGAGAATTACTACCGGTAATGATCTATTGAAACCTCATTCTGGAAATCGTAAACCTGGTATGTTATTAAATTATCTGAACTTTATTATTATTATAAAAGGTTAAGTATTAATATGATTTATTATTTACAACCTATCTTAAGGATTTTACCATGCAAATGTTTTCCTTCAATTTTCAAACAAAGAAACTTCACAGATGTCTTTTATACGTAATGATATTGAAGAAGATTTCATGCCTGAATGATTAGGAAAGAATGTTCGAATTGACTTTAACACAAAAGATAAACCCAATGGATGAATTTGTATCTTTATATATTTGCTATTCGCACTGTGAAAAGTAATCTTATTCTTTATCAAACTGCTTCTTTAAATAAATATACTTTTTTGAAAATGCGTAAATTAATATTTATAACATTTATTAAATTATTTCAAACTTCTTTAGCTGATATATTTATGATTTGAATTTTTTCCTCCCACGTGACCGCATTTTTTGCAGAAGGGTTTCTTGTATTTTTAAACTAAGTATCACGTGATAAACAAAGGTTAAGAGCCTATACAGAACAGGATAAATATACCCTTTGTAGAACGTTATTCCTGTTTTTTACATAATTCTGACCAAAAAATTACGTAAAATAAAAGCCAGAAATAATATTGTTTTATTAATATTAAAATAGCTAAAGAAAGGTTTGTTAAATTATAAAAAAAAAATTTAATAAAAACTATTAATATTTATTAATAGATATTTTTTTAAAAAAATAATAAGTTAATAAAATAAATTTTACTTAAAATTATAATACAATGCAAAATGTCTATAATAGGAACTTAAAAAACATTAATAAAATTTAACCTACTGATTAGATTTTAATCAAATAAAAAAAATTGATTTATATTTGTAAAAATGAATTGATTTATAAAAATAAGTTTTTTTTTCAATTTGAAAATTATGTAAGCATTGTGTATAAGGTTGCTAGACGAAACTTAAAAGTTTTGCAAGTTGTCTAAATGAAAAAAGATAAAATTTAGCGAAATTATATTAAACTTTATTAAAAAATTTGTGAAATTCTGAAAAAAATAAAACTATATTAAAGCTTATAGAAATGCAAAACTATATCAAAACCTTAGTAAAAAATTAGCAAAAATAATTTAGACATTTTGCCAAATCTAAAATGAGTTTAAACAAGCAACCTTAATTATATAACATATATATAAGCCAATCAGAAACTAAAATTAAAATTATATGAAACAATTTATTTTATTTTATTTTATTATTTCATTATAAATTGTATGAGTTACACTTATATTTTAATTGCAAACTCTACTATTTTTCTAGTAATACTTTTTCTATAAATATTTATATAATATTATGATTTTTGTGCATATTTTTAAATAGTAATTAAAGAAACTGCATCTAATGCTTTAGGAATAATTTATTATAATCTAACCTATATGTAATTACTATAATCTTGTATATTTCTTTTATAATATCCTAATACAACTTTATATAATTCAATTTACAATAATATTTAAGTTAAATTATATAATGATAAAAGAATCATTCTTATAAATTCATTATCACATATTTTTTTCAATTTCAGTTTTTATAATTGATTTTGGATAAATTTAACTTAATATAACTTTATTAATATTAAAGATATTAAAATTCTAATCCAAGATTCTTAAAGTACAGATTATAATTTATTTATTTTATAGATTAAATTTTCAATTTTATATATAATAAAATTTTTTTTTGTATTTTAAATTTGTTTTATTTTTATTAAAGTAAAGTTCTTATTATAGAGATCCTACACTATATAACTTATTTATAAAAAACATATTTTAAATATTATATATATAGCAAAATATATAATTCTTATAAATTAATAAATCTTTAAGTTATATAATAATTTAATCATAATGTTAACAGAATAATTAACTAATCATAATGAAGTCATATGGATAACATAGTATATTGATCTCTTAATCCAGAATTCTGAAAATACTAAGAATTCTGCAAATTCTGAAAATATGAAGGATTTACATAATTCTACAAATCTTCCAAATACTAATAATAATCCTAATTTTACGAATTAAATGAAATCTAAAAATATTTAGTATTATACTTATTTTTAATATTCTAATTTTATTATTATTTTTATTATATTTATTATATTTATTATTTTACATATATTTATTCTACTTATATTTTATTTACTAAATTAGTTAGTTTATAATATAATAATTAGTTAGCTATAACAAAAGAAATTTTGTATAAATAGATAGACTTTTACTTATTTGTAAATTAACTCTTTTATAAATCAAAGTAACTCTCTTACGAATATGAGTTTCAATATTAATAAAGGAATTATTCAAAACTTATATCTTTCTACTTCTTTATATCTTCATATAGTCTAATGTGATTCCTATACATTATTTGTAATTGAGTTTATCATCTGAATTCTTTAATTAAATCATTTGTAATTTCATTTTTCAAGTCTTTATACTTGATAGATTTGTTTAAGTTTAGCGTATAGATTTGGTAAAATTAAGAGTTAGATAGATCTTAACATCTTAACTGCAATAAGCTGCAGTTATTAGCTTAAGTAAAGACTTGATAACATGATCAACTGGAGTTGAAGAATTCCATAGTGACTAGGATATTCAGGATTTCGTGATGTGATAACCTAAAAAGTGTGATGTGATTTAGTTAAAAAATGTGATTTAGTACGATCTTAATGCTGATCAAAATTAATATAATTTTAACTAAAATTAATATTTATTATGCTACACAAACAAATTTATATTTATTTTATTTATTAAAACAATATATTTAAACTGTAATTAACAAATTATAATTAATGTTACTACCAGTGTATAAAATTTAAACCAAAAGTCATGTATACAAGTTGTACTAAAAATAGAAAATTAATGCATGTATTACATAGTATTTCCATTTTTATAAATAATTTAATTTTAATTTCTTTTTGCAAAAATGCCCAAAAAAACAGAAAGAAAGAACACCAACCGCGGCCGTTCAGCGTCGCCTATATCTGATAAATTACCAAAGAAAAAGCAAAACACACAACAAACTGCAGACAACGACCTCTCTCTTAC